AATATCTTATGAATGATATTTTTTAAGAGCGTTTGGATGACATTCTTATCTATTATTTAGATGACATCTTAATTTATTTTAAAAATATAAAAGAACATAAACTTCATATTTGTCATGTATTAAAAAAATTAAGAAATGTAAGACTCTATGCCAAAATAGAAAAGTGTGGATTCTACACTACTAAAATTAACTTCTTAGATTACATCATTTCAAACGATAGAATTATGATGGATTCTAAAAAATTTCAAACTATTATGGATGGGAAGATTTCAAAAATGATATGAAATATCCAACGTTTTTTGGAATTTGTTAACTACTATTACATCTTCATCAAGGACTTCTCTCGAATTGGAGCTCCACTCATATATTTGACTTGTAAAGACAAACTTCAATGGAATTAAGAAGCAAAAGTAATATTTGAAGTTTTAAAGATAATATTTTGTTTTTGCACCAATCTTGAATTACATTGACTTCTCTAAGGCATTCTTATGGAAACAGACACATTAGACTTTGTCTTGGTGCTATATTATTACAAATGGAAACAAATGATAAACTTCACCCAATAGCTTTTCATTCCAAGAAATTTTCAGCAGCCAAAATTAATTATAAAATCCACAACAAAGAGCTTCTTGCAATTGTGGATTCTTTTTAAGAATGGCATCATTATTTAGAAGGCACTTCTAGTCTAGTCACCGTGTATACAAATCATAAGAATCTCAAATACTTCATATCAAGATGTGTTTTGAATTGTTGCCAAATCCATTGAAGTATATCTTTATCAAGATTTGATTTCAAGATTACATATTAATTTAGAAAATAATAAGATTTGTCAAATGTCCTTTTTAGATGTTCTTATCTTGCACCAAAAGAAAGAGATGCATCTTTTGATCAATAAAGAATGACTCTCTTGAAGCTGAAGCATTTTCATCTTCGAGTAATAAAATCAACATTGATTGTTGATTCAATCTTTGTCAAAAAAAATCAATTAAGCATGTCTTCTAATCTTCTTATTTATGATATCAAGAATCTTTCTTCCAAATCTCATGATGCTTCCAAATTTGAATTCAAAAACAACCTACTCTATTTTGAAGGATGCCTATATGTTCTAATAGAAGAAGCACATTTTTGAGTTCTTCAAGCATGCTATGATTTTCTAGTAGTTAGACATTTTGGATACAACAAGACTTTAGAATTGATATCTAAAAAATTTTGGTGGTTACAAATATAGAAGGCGACGAAAGATTTCGTTCAATTGTATAATGTTTACTGAAGATCAAAAACTCCCCATCATCGACCTTACAGACTTCTTCACACATGACCTATTTCAGAACAACCATGGTCTTTTGTTTCTATGGATTTTATCATGGATCTTTCAGTTTTAGATTTGTATAATTCTATATTTGTAATAATAGATCATTTTACAAAGATGGCATATTTTGTACCACATACAAAATCTATCATAGGTGAAAAAACAACCAAGCTTTTTCTTAATAATACTTATCGATATCATGGATTATTCAAAGATATTATATGAGATAAGAGGATTCAATTCGTATGAAGATTTTAAAGAATATTTTTTAAGATTCTAAAGATAGAAATAAAACTATCTTTGGCCTTTCATCCTCAAATTGATGGACAAACGAAGCGTGTTAACTAAGATTTGGAATAGTATTTAAGATGTATAATTAATTACCAACAAGACAATTAAAAAACTCTTTTATCATTGGCAGAGTTTGCTTATAATAATATGGTGCATTCTTCTACGCAATAAATACCTTTCTTTACCAATTATGATTACCATCTATGACTTGATGCTTTTGAATTTTCAAAAGTTGATAATCTTACGGTGAAAGATTTGGCAAATTTTTTGTTTAAGCTTCATATAACAATAAAGGTGCAATTAAAGGAAGCTCAAGAATGACAAAAGATCAATGCAAATCCCTATTGAAAGGAACAATCACAATTCAATGTAGATGATAAGATATGATTACTTTGTCAATATATCAAGACTATTTGTCCTTGTAATAAGTTGGATCTATTCTTATTTGTGAACAAATCAATCTAGTTGCTTATTAATTACATCTACCAAAGTCAATGAAGATCCATTTTAACTTCTACATATCTCTTCTTGAGTCATATAAAACTGTGAACATACCAAGAAGAATACAAGCTCCACCTCCTCTTATAGAAGTGAACAATAATGAAGAGTTTGAAATAGAAGAAGTTCTAGACTCAAGGTGGCACGAAAATAAATTAAAATATCTTGTCCATTGATGCGGATATGATATTAGTGAATGCACATAGGAGCCAATAAAGAATTTTGTAAATGTAATAAAGAAGGTGGACGCTTTTCATTGATGACATTCATCAAAACCAAGATAAAGATCTTTGTTATAAAAAAAACAAGATCTAGGCAACATAACATTCTACTTTCTATCCTTCTCGTAGCTTCATTATATTTGTGATACTAAGAAAATAGAAAACCAACAACTAGCAGATTCAACTAAAGAGCCTTTATTTGCTGACC